ATGATGTGGTGCATGGTGAGAATTCAGCAAAGGTATGCAGTCATGTTCTGGTACCTTGTGAAGTGATTGACATAGTGTTCATATATTGGAAGCAGACCTGACGGAGAATTCCGGGTGTTGGAATTGAGTTCTAAGCTTAATTGTTTGAATAAAAGAGAATATCTTCAAATTTGATCAAATTATTGTGCTCAACTAAGCTGTGGTAGAACGGGTAGGTGCTCAAGGTGTTAAACAGTGATTTCGGACCACTCCGGTGCATTTCTCAGCACGTTCGAGGACGAACTTATGTTTAAGTGGGAGAGAATGTAACGACCCGACCGGTCGTTTTGAGCTCTAGCGCGTCGTTCAGCGGTTTGAAGCCCTGAGTAGCTTCACTTCAGGTATTATGACTTGTACGCGTGGTCGGAATTGAGTTTCGGGAAGTTCGGAGTTGATTTGGAGAGAGAATTCTCATTTCGAAAGCTTTAAGTTGAAAGAATTGACTAAGATTTGATTTTTGAGTGAACGACCTCAGAATCGGGATTCGAAGGTTCCAGCAGGTTCGTATGATGATTTCGGACTTGGGCGTATGTCCGGAATGGGTTTTGGAAGACCCGGGAACATTTCGGCGCCTATTGTGGAAGTTAGCATTTTGGAAGAATCTCATAAGTTTGGGTTGAAGTGCATTTCAGTGTTATCGATGTCCGTTGGGATTTCGAGTCTGGGAATAGCTCCGTGTGGTGATTCTGGTATTGGGGGCGCGATCGGAAGTGAATTCGAAGGTCCATGGGTCATTTTGGAGCTATTTGGCTAAAGATAGAAATTTGAAGGTTTTTGGGAAGTTTGACCGAGAGTTGACTTTTTGATATCAGGGTCAGATTCCGATTCCCGAAGTTGGAGTAGGTCCATAATGTCGAATATGACTTGTGTGCAAAATTTGAGGTCAATCGGACGTGATTTGATAGGTTTAAATATTGAAATTAGAAGTTTGAAATCTTAAAGTTCATTAAGCTTGAATTGGAGTGCAATTCATGGTTTTAGCGTTGTTTGACCTGATTTGAGACTTCGAGCAGGTCCGTGTGATTGGACGGGGTCCCGGGGGCCTCGGGTGAGTTTCGGACGTGCGGGAGGAGTTGGAACACACCATATTTTCTGGTGTTTTTTACAGCAGTTGCAGGTCTCGCAAATGCGAGAAATAGTTTGCATTTGCGAACCTCACATTTGCGAGTGGGGCTTCGCATTTGCGAAGGAGCCTGGCCTGAGGCAGAGTTCGCATTTGCGACAATTTGGTCGCATTTGCGACCTCAGCAGGGTTCGCATTTGTGAGCTCTTGGTCGCATTTGCGACCTAGGCAGTGGGAGCTTAGGGTTCACAATTGCGATATTTTGGTCGCATTTGCGACCTTGGAAGGGGAGGCCCATGTTCACAATTGCGATGGGTGGGTCGCATTTGCGAACCAGGTGTCGCAAATGCAACATCTGAGGCCCGTGCACAACTATTAATTTCGAGACTTAGACCATTTAGCTCATTTCCTTCATCCTCTTAGGCGATTTTTGGAGCTTTTGGAAGAGGGTTTTCACCTAGCACTTTGAGGTAAGTAATTTCTACACAACATGAGTTAAATACATAGATTATGGGTAGATAAACATGTGAAAATTAGGGAAAGCCAAGGGTTTAGATGAAAAACCTAGAGTTTGATAAAAACAAGATTTAACCACGAAATTTGTGATGGAACGAAGTAGAAATTACATATTATTGATCCTTAGGTTATGGGTAACAACATTCTTCAAAAATTTCCGGAATCCGGGCACGTGGGCCCGGGGATAAATTTTAGGAACATTGCATCTAGGGTTGGGAAATTAGTTTAATAATTAGAATATGAACTTTTGAGCATGTATTGACTAGTTCTTACCCATTTGAATAGTTTTGGATTGTTCGACTCCAATTTGGAGGGTTGAGCGCGTTCTTGAATTGGGATATAGGCTTCGGAGCGAGGTGAGTCTCCTTTCTAACCTTTAATATGTGCTGCTAATTGTGGGGGCTACGTATGCACGAGTTGACGAGAGTCCGTGCGTAGCTACTATTATGCTTATGTCCGGGTAGTCTAGGACCCAAAAGCATGCTTACTTGTAATAAATGCAACCTTATTGATAGTTTAAATTGCTTAAATCATATCGAAGTGGCAAATAATTTTCTAAAAGAAGTAAAATTCATTTTCATGACTTGTAAAAAGGGAAATTTACACCTCCTTGAATAATTGTCTCCTCGATGAATGTCTTGAATGACTGTTTGAGTGTGCGTTTTTATGTGCACCTACGTTGCATGTATGATTCGCGATCAGGGTGAAAACCCTCTTCCAAAAGCTCCAAAAATCGCCTAAGAGGATGAAGGAAATGAGCTAAATGGTCTAAGTCTCGAAACTAATAGCTGTGCACATGCCTCAGATGTCGCATTTGCGACACCTGGTTCGCAAATGCGACACACCCATTGCAATTGCGAACATGGGCCTCCCCTGCCAAGGTTGCAAACGCGACCAAAATATCGCAATTGCGAACCCTGAGCTCCCACTGCCTAGGTCGTAAATGCGACCAAGAGCTCGCAAATGTGAGCCCTGCTGAGGTCGCAAATGCGACCAAGTTGTCGCAAATGCGAACTCTGCCTCAGGCCAGGCTCCTTTGCAAATGCAAAGCCTCACTCGCAAATGCGAATTATTTCTCGCAGTTGCGAGACTGCAACTGCCGTCAAAAACACCAGAAAATCTGGTGTGTTCCAACTCCTCCCGTACGTCCGAAACTCACCCGAGGCCCCCGGGACCCCGTCCAATCACATCATTCAGTCCCATAACATAACACGGACCTGCTCGAAGTCTCAAATCACGTCAAACAACGCTAAAACCATGAATTGCACTCCAATTCAAGCTTAATGAACTTTAAGATTTCAAACTTCTACTTTCAATGTTTAAACCAATCAAATCACGTCCGATTGACCTCAAATTTTGCACAAAAGTCATATTCAACATTATGGACCTACTCCAACTTCCAGAATCGGAATCCGACCCCGATATCAAAAAGTCAACTCTCGGTCAAACTTCCCAAAAACCTTCAAATTTCTATCTTTAGCCAAATGACTCCAAAATGACCCACGGACCTCCGAATTCACTTCCGATCGCGCCCCCAATACCAAAATCACCACACGGAGCTATTCCCAGACTGGGAATCCCAAACGGACATTGATAACACCGAAATGCACTTCAACCCAAACTTATGAGATTCTTCCAAAATGCTAACTTCCACAATAGGCACTGAAACGTTCCCGGGTCTTCCAAAACCCAGTCCGGACATACGCCCAAGTCCGAAATCATCATACAAACCTGCTGGAACCTTCGAATCTGGATTCCGAGGTTGTTTACTCAAAAATCCAATCTTAGTCAATTCTTTTAACTTAAAGCTTCCGAAATGAGAATTCTCTCTCCAAATCAACTCCGAACTTCCCGAAACTCAATTCCGACCATGCGTACAAGTCATAATACCTGAAGTGAAGCTACTCAGGGCTTCAAACCGCTGAACGATGCACTAGAGCTCAAAACGACCGGTCGAATCGTTACATGTACGGTTCTTTTGTTTAAGTTTTGGTGTTTCCTTATTTTCAGTACCTTTTAATTTATTAATCCTAAAAAAATTAACAATTAACTTTATGTAAAGGAAATTTTTTATAAAAGAGCCGATAAAAATTGGATGATTGAATGTTTGTTTCCCAAAAAATCTGTGTAGTACAGCATATATTTTAATTTTGATTTAATAAGGTTGCCAAGTGGCTTTTCAATAAATTGTCACTTGGCTTGTTAATAACTTGCCACTTGGCTTAATCACAATGCTAACTATATTTGGTAACTTAATTTCTTTAATATATATATAGATTAACAATTCAAACCCCCACACTTATGTTGAGCCGAACCCCAACCATCATACATAATAGCATCAAACTCCAAATATCCTTTAAGCATAAACAAGATGAGAACTACCACTAGCAAGGAATAATTAAATTTTTTTTTCTAAGTTCTGATATTATTTTTTCAATCACACTCTTTTTTTCAATCCTCCACAAGTGGCTCTCATAATTTTTCAAACAATTCACCTTTTTCCTATTTCTATAGCTCCACTCAGAACCCGACCATACCTCACTCAGCATTTATAAGCTCATGCAAATTCAAGTGCTCACGAGAGGTAAAAGGTTCAAATAGATAGACAATTAAAACAAAGGGGTCAAGCTTGTAGTGTGGTTGCCAAAGAAATAGGATTATAGGCTCAACGGGGCTAACTAAGATACACATTCATTAGGTGGGTAAAAGCATATATATGGCTCAATAAAGAAATGCCTATATCACTTCTTAGGCTGAACAAGACTACTATTTTGCTTTGCAAACACACGAGGCAAGTTCTAGACATCACTGACATGCACAGAATATCAACAAAAACTTCACTCACACATTGGCACATAACTCACTCAGGATAGGATCCATCCCGACTCTCTAGTCAAAGCAGTTACAATCACACAGTTTAAGGTACTTATTAGGAGTCAAGAACTAAGCCTAGGCATCACAAAATAAGGCACTCACTGCTCCTCAAGGCACAACAAAGTCAAGAAAAGTCATCTCCCTTTAGCACCTGCACAAGACTTCACTACTCCTACCAAAAGAAAAATTAACTACACCCGGTTCAAGCAAAAACCTTGCAAAAGAACTGCGGAACAAAGAAAAACCAAGAGGGGATTGTTACACTACCTAGGAAAAACAAAATATAAACAAATTTCTAAAGTTTTTTTTTCCGACTTTAATCCCTCAAGAAGACAACCGAGGAAATCCATCATTGGGAAAAGTAAATTTCTTTTTATTTTCAATCAAAAAAAACGACTACAAACACACATATACATATATGCCTTCCCCACCCCACACTTTAAATTGTGACATGTCCCCATGACACACAAATAAAAAGCAAGAGGTAAAGGAAACTTTCTTGATTCATCTAGTCGGGGTGTGAATCGAAGTCGGGATCTCCCTTGCACGCCCGTCCCAGTGCACACATCCTTTCATCCCAAACTTTTATAGCTTCACTCTTTTCCAGTTGCTCTTTCAGGGGACCCCTATCGCCTTCCATTTTGAAGATCATCCTTTCATCCCCTACTCTGAGCATGAGCTGCATTTCTTGAATATCTAGAATTGCTTTGCCCGTAGCCAGGAATGGTCTTCCTAAAACCATAGGGATCTCCATATTCTCCTCCATATTGACCACAATGAAGTCCATCGGGAACACAAATTTGTCTACCCGAACCAGCACATCTTCCACTATACCTTCAGGTATGATTATGGTCTGATCCGCCAGCTGCAAGGACACACGTATCGGCCTGATTTCTCCAATCTCGCCCTCCAACTTTTTGTAAATAGACAAATGCATAAGATTAATAGAAGCACCTGAATCACACCGAGATTTTTGAAATTTAGTACTTCCTAAAGAGCAAGGTATAGTAAAACTCCCTGGATCTCCACATTTTTTAGGAAACTTATTTCGCAAGATGGCACTACAATGCTCCGTCATCTTGACAACCGATGTCTCTTCCACTTTCCTCTTCTTGGACAATATCTTCTTCATGAATTAAGCATAAGCTGGCATATGAGAAAGCACCTCTATGAAAGGTATATTCATATGCAACTGCTTGAACACTTCTAGAAAGTGCTCGAATTATTTGTCCAACTTCTCGCTTTATTGCTTTTGGGGAAAGGTAGAGCTGGAATATATTTGCTCTCTTCAATCTCATTATTTGTTGAATTATCATTTTTCTTCTTTTTCTGATCTCTACTCTTCCCCTTCTTCTTCAAATCCTCATCTACCATGACTTCACCTTTTTGAATGTCATCATTTTTTTGCTCTTCCATAATCTCCAACTGTCTCTCAATCGGCTCATCCTTTTGCTTTGCTATGGGATCCTCCAACTTGTGCCCACTCCTCAAAGACACTGCATTGATTGTCTCTTTTGGATTTTTTTTAGTATCAGCAAGGAGCGTTCATGGGACCCTCGCAGATAATAGAGTAGTTAGTTGCCCAACCTGTCTTTCCAGGTTTCAAAAAGAAGTGCCCAGTTCTTTGATAGCTGTAACGTGGGCATCAAGCCTCTCATCTATTTTGATAACGAAGGCCTTTATTAGATCTTCCATGCTCGACTGATTAGACTATGGAGGCTGATATTGCTACCTCTGCTGATTTTGAAAGCTTGTGGCTCTTTGTCCTTGGGGTCTAGAGTTATTTTGCTGCCATGAGTTCAGGCCACCACTTGATGAATTCCAAGAAAAACCTGGGTGCCTCTGTCCCATAGGATTGAAATTATTTCCACTCTGGTAGTTACCTCTATCAAAGCTTCCCAGAGAATTTACCACTTCATCTGAAGCTAAGACATAACACTCATACGTTGGATGACCCACATCACAAACCAATGATGTTGCGCCCTTTTTTCTCACAAAATCGGGTTTTGACACGTGACAACTCTTTTAAGGAAGGGTTTTAAAAGAGAGAGTTGCCACCTAAAGGATTAAGGTGTGTTAGGGCACCTATTTGCAAATAACTTTGTTGACCAGTTTGCATCACCAAAGATCGGGCAAGGGCTTGAAATTACCTCGAAGAGAAGGTGTTAGGCACTCTTCGAGGTCCACAACCTATTGGTCCCGGCCGAACTCAATTATATGAATTAGTCTATGTGACCAAAGCTAAGAAACAAGGAATTACTAAACGTGAATAAACAATTGAAAGAAAAAGGGGAGGGGGTCCTAAGTTTTTTAGCCTAAAGGATCACCCCGTGCGACATAAATAATGCTTCGTAACTCCCTCGAGATGGGGTGTTACTCATATTATTCAGCAGGCACAGACTATCATCTACTGCTACTCAATTACTATCTTTAAGTTGTTTACTTAAAGCGCACTAGTCAATTCTAAGTCGTGTCCTACGCGTGCACTACCCGTCCCATGCCTATGGTCCAGGAGGCATTTGGACCTCTATTTCAGGGTGGTTCTAGACTTTAACTTAGGCTGCTCAAAATGGAAAAATACTAAGCGACAGACAAAACAGTTAGGACTTTCAAGTGGAAACAAGTATAGGCTCAAGTTAGCCTCCGCATTTAGACATCAAATGCACGCCAAATTGGTTAACATTGACAGATTTTATTAATTTCAGAATCCTATAGGCAGGATATCTATGTGATATTGAATGAACAAACAAACAGTCCTGTGCAAAATCAGTTTCTTAATGCGATAAGTGGAACCTACATAGGTTTGCCTACTGATTTTAGAATAATACGATTAAGCCTATTAGCATGGTATCTAGGTGTTTTATGCGATAGTAGACAGTGGCAGGTCACAGAAATAGATCCAGAATTATTTGTTTGAATCCTATAAGCATGTTTTCTTGTGAGGGTAACAACACAGTATTTGGAAACTCGAGCACAACTGATAATTAAACAAATTCAGGCATGTAACGTGCATTCTACAATTTGGTCCAGTTTTAGATCCTATAGGCATGATCTCTACAATTTGATCCAGTTTTAGATCCTATAGGCATGATCTCTATAATTTCAACAGAATAGTTGTCGCGCCCCCTTTTTCTCGCAAAATCGGGTGTATGACATTTGGAGGGACAACTCATTCCTTTTGGGAAATGGGTTTTCATTTGAAGAGTCACCACCTAATGATTAGGGTGCATTAGAACACCCAAAGAGTTTGATTTGAATAACCAGAGATAGGGTAAGGGCTTGAAATTATTCTAAGGGGAAGGTGTTAGGCACCCTCAGAATCCACTAGTGTGGTTCCCGGCCAGACAATTATTGTGAATTTGGGTGCAATTAACATATAGGCAGATAAGTCTCAAATAAGAGGGGATTTCAACACATAATGATTTGAAAGTAGACAAAGTTTAGAAGAATAATTAAAAGAGCTGATTTTGAATAAGGAAATACAATGCTAAAAGAAAAGAAATGAAGAATAAAGGAAGGGGGTCCTAGGTTTATTAAAAATATGGATCACCCCACACAATGTCCGGTAATCACTCCTCAATGAGGGGCTACACGTGACATTATCGCGTGGTCATCATATCCATATCTACCCTTCCCACCTCGTTAAGGTATTTAAAGCGCTGGTTGGTCTCGATTACTTATTGCATGTTATTACCCGTCCCACTCATATCAGTCCCGGAGGCACTTAGGACTAGTAATCCTAAAAAGGGAGGGATATTAGGCTTATTTGAAGTTTCAAAGGTAAAAACTCTAAGGCGACATACAAAACACATATTGCATATTTTTGGGGAAAGCATATAAACAAACAATGGCTCATATATACCTCCTTAAACAAAGAAAGCATCTAATTAGCATGACTTGCACATACTTTTTTAGGTCTGATTAAAAATACCAAAGACGAGGGAGTTTAAATATTGAGGCAGATTGGTTTATTACATAACACAGATAAGAAGCCCGAATCAGGCCTGCCTGCTGGTTGTAATGATTAATAGAAACATATTCAATTTACAGTTATTACTCTAAGGCTTGCCTAAGTGTTTAGACGGGGTCTTATAGGCATGATATCTACTGATTTTAGAGGGTGATGAGATAGTAAGGCTCGAAATGAATTGTTTGAAGTCCTATATGCATACTTGTTAAACCTGTTAAGCGAGGGACTTAGATTATTAAAAGAGATGCAGAGTGTACAAAAATTAAATAAGTTGGTTACATGTTCTGCAGGTTATAGCATCTACTATTACTGATTTTATATCTAACATTGACTGTGAATGAAAACGAATCAGAATTGCTCGAGTGTCCCTATAGGCATGATTTCTATGCATTACTGATTTTTAGATGTGGTATCTAAGTGCAGAAACCTTATAGACATGGTATCTAAGTGCAGAAACTTGTTTTAAACCTCATAGACATGGTATCTAATTGCAGAAACTTGTTTTAAACCTAATAGACATGGTATCTAAATGCAGAAACTTGCTTTAAACCTTATAGACATGGTATCTAAATGCACAAACTTGTTTTAAACCTTATAGACATGGTATCTAATGCAGTTTGAATTATGCAGAATTAAAATATTCCTATAGGCATGGCTTCTAGGTGAAGTTTGAATATGCAGAAGTTAAAACACCCTATAGGCATGGTTTCTAGGTAAAATTTGAATACGCAGAAGTTAAAACACCCTATAGGCATGGTTTCTAGGTGAAGTTTGAATATGCAGAAATTCAAACACCCTATAGGCATGATTTCTACCCTTGCATGCATAGTTACCCACCCTTTTTCACTAGTTAGCCCCAAATGTTTATTACAACTTATTACAAACCAGAATAATAAATTACATCAAAAAAGTACAAAGAAAATTACAACCAGAGGAAGCTTGATTCTTGACTTCCTCTTTGAGTTATGAGATAGACCAACTCAAAGACCATTGATCCAAAGCCTTTCTCCAATTTGAGTGTGTCAGAGTTCCCTAAGAGCCTCAATGGGACTCCGGGCAATGCTCACACCCAAATTGCATCACCAGAATAGGGACAAGTGTAGTGTGGAAGTGCCAGCCCTCAAGTGTCCTAGTTCAGAGGGAGCTCATGGGTCCCAAGGCAAGGCTCACAAGAGGGGGCAGAACTTAAGTCTAAGAGAGAGTGCAACTGAAGAAACAGAGTTCTGAGGGAATAAAGGAAAGGGAAAGAGGTGCTGGGAAACAACCATAAACAAATTGATAATTTCATACAAAAGGGGTTCAGGGGTTGGGAAATTGCAAAGAGCCCATGTACCTAGGCAAGGGTCAGCTTTGGGCATGCACAACAATAGGAGATGCTGGCATGCCCATAAGCCCACTAGAACACACAATACTAGAGATTACATAGAGGTTATGATCCCAGGGGAATCAAGTTTGAGTCATGGACAGCAATGCTCAATACTGTCATGCCTCAAACAAACCATCAATATCAAACACATTGGGGTAGGGGTTTAGGATACTACATATATTCAGAATAGGAAGAAAGAATTTACAGCATGCTAGAACAAAGTACTGAATTAAACACAAGTAGAAGGCAGACAAGAAGGCAAAAGTATTAAGTGAACATGTTGTTGTGATGCTAAAATTTTAATCAGAACATACCAGTTCAAATAAGCAAAATATAGTAAAGGCAAGGTAGCAGGATTTTGAAATTAGCTTTGGCTTTCAGCCAGCTAAATAGGTCACAGTAGAAGTAGTAAAGCAGGAGAGAATATTTTGAGTGTAAGTGATTTTAGAACTCAGAGTGTTCGTCTGTGTGCTAATGAAAGAGCAAGGTATTTATAGTTTGAAAACAGGTAGAAAATAAGGCAAGAATCATAGTTTAGCAGTAATTATGGAACTATGTAGTAATTAAAAATCAAATCAGTATCAAAGACTTCCTTTAATTAAGGAGTTAAAATTAAACGGTAATGGGCAGAAAATATTTAAGGAATGAAATCAAGTAGAGCATCATGTGCAGAATAGACAATTAGGGGTAAGTAAATAGAGGTTTCATTAAGGGAATAACTAATGAAGAATCTTTGAAATACTCGGTTAACCAAATAAGTTAAGAAACACAATAAATTTGCAGAATATGGAGACAA